TTGTCCACCACGAGGGAGAGGTAGGTTTCTTTGTAAATTCCCTTTACTGGTGGATGGAGATTTTCTGGTCTACCTTTGCACTAAAGGTGTATCCCTCTCCAGAATCTTGGCTTAATTCATGAGTCTGGGGTTCAGTTCCCCCTGACAGTTCCATGCAGTTATTTAACCTAAATGCTGAGAAGCATTAGTGCGAGCCCCTTAGCAGCTCCAATTCCAACACGCTGGTTTACGCTTACTTCCTTGTTTTGAAGGGGCGCTTGGGAAGTTCCCTTACTTCTTGAAAGGTTAGGGTTTTAAGATCCTGTTTGTTCTAATGGATCTGGAGTCTAGTTGCTTTATAGTAGGAGGGATCTAGGTAAAGTCTAGAGCATCAGTCTGACAGAGGGGGAGCTGGGAAGATCAGTTTTCTTTTTTTCTTCATTCATTCATTCATTCATTTGTTCAAAACCATCGATTGAGCACCTCTGTGTGCCAGCTAGGGTTGTGATGATGTACAAAAGCAGACAAGGTCTTTGCTTCATGGAGCTCATAGCTTAGAGCAGACACATTATAATAAAAGAATCACACAAACAAGTGTGATTACAGACGAAGTGGGGATTGCATGAAAGCTAGTGCTTCTCAAACTGTGGGCCACACCAGCAGCATCAGTAGGAACTTAGTAAAGCACAAGTTCTTGGACTCTTCCCAAACTTACTGAATCAGAAACGCCAGCATGGGACCCAGTAATCTGTATTTCAATAAGCACCCCCCCCAGGTGATTCTAAACTACTGCCATAAGCCAAAGGAACTTGACCTAGAAAGAGGGGCTGACCAAATTTCCCTAAGGAAGTGGTGATGACAACAGAAAGATGAGTGAGAGGCACATAGGCAGTGAGAACAGCATGTGCAAATGTCCTGCGGTCAGAGGGAATCTGGTTGTTTAAGGAACCAAGAGAAGGTGAATGTCTGAGGGCCTTGAAGTTTGTAGAAGCTTGCCCTGATTCCTCAGAGTGATGGAAGGCCATCCAGGAGGATGAGAGGAGTAGGGTGTCTTGATCAGAACTGCATTTGAAAAAGCGGAGTTACTTGTTCAGATTCAGGACAGGACCAAGGCTGTGGCATGAGGATGGCAAAAGAGGGAGTGAGTCCTAGAAAACTTCAGAAGCAGGGTTGGCAGGAGCTGGGGACTCCTTTGATATGGGAGGAGGGGAAAAGGAGAGCTTCCTGGAGACATCTGGCCCGAGGACATACCTGTACCGCAGAGCACTGCAGCAGGAGGGGACCGGGGGGAGCCATGACGTGCCTTTGAGATCCTCAAGGATAGGTGACCAGAGACAGAGGGCAGTGTGGGCCTGGAGCTCCGGACAGCGGTTAAGCCAGAAACAAGTCACATTCACGAAGTGAATCCCCAGGAGTCTGGAAGAAGTGATTTAAGCCAGAATCGTCCTTAGGTTTGTCATTTCCCCCTATACCCACACATGTAGTCTTCGTGTCACTATCCACATAAGTTAGCCTCCTGTGGTCACTGCTATGAAAATAAACGTGACATTTGACAGTATGAAACCAGTAAGATGCTGTATACGCTCGCCCAAGTTACAAGCTCCTGATGTGCGAGCCTCAGACACCATCCCCGTTGTCAACTCAAAGCAAGTGCATTTGCTATTTTCTTTCCTAGTTCTTAAGGATTCCTTTCCCCCCAGCGAGTCCTCAAACGTAATGATGACCACCGACGACATGTTAATTCCTTGCGGAATTTAACGTGACTATTATGAGACCCTGCTGATGTAAAAACACTTGGCTTTTAGAAATATCCTTGGGGGATCCCTAGGCGGCTCAGTCGGTTGAGCATCTGACTCTTGATTTCAGCTCAGGTCATGATCTCACGGTTTGTGAGTTCAAGCCCTGCCTTGGGCTGTGCACAGACAGCACAGAGCCTGCTTGGGATTCTCTCTCCTTCTGTGTCTGCCCCTCTCCTGATCGTGTGCGTGC